TACACCATGAAATGAAAGTCACACTTTTAAAGTGATCAAGAAACAAAAATCGGCCCTCCCCGATGGCACAAGGGGTTAAAGCACAGCACTCTGCAACAATCCGCAGCCACTGCCACCCAAGTTCAATCCCTGGCCAAGATGACAACCCACATGGCACAGCAGACCTCTCCTGCGCCCCTCAGCAGTGTATCTCAGTAGATCCACCTGTTCCGCTCCCCACTCTGTCTCAGGTGAATCCTCTCACCTCCTGCACCTCTAGCCTGTACCCCAGCCATGTAAAGGAACCTGGCATTTGACACTGAGGGCACCCCGTCAAATTTGCATGGCTTTCTTCTGGGTCTTCCCCATTTAAGAGAGAAATACACTCCCATTATACTTTGTTAAAGTCAGTATTGTTTGGATTTCCTGTCTTATGGAAAGTAGAAGACGATTCCCCCTTTCTCTCTAGCTAACAAATAATCAAATTAACATCAGAAAGATGGGCAAGAGAAAAAAATTAACATGTAGCTTCTTGCATAGAAACAAACCCAGGAAAAGTGAGCAAAAGCAACTCAACAAACGGCTTAAGTATCTCCTTAAGCAATTTCAGTTAAAGACAAAGGATGCCAGGGAGGGGAGGGAGTTTACCAGGAAAGGCAGAGCCAATGGAGGGGGCGAGGACTATAATAGCAGTAGGATTTTTCTGGGTCCCCAAAGGTGGGAGATAGAGATATGGAGGTGGGCAAAACTCTGCCACTCCAAAATCCATCTTTTTGGCAAAAGGTTGATTGCATGGGAAGGGCTCCAAGACTGGGTGAAGGTCGTCTCTGAAGAAGATGCACATTCACCAGCACAGAGGAGTGTGCGCCCCAGAAGGCCGACTCTCCTCTTCGTAGAGAAGGGAGAAGTTCATCTGTAGGCCTTTGTGCCTGCACTGGTAACCCCCTAAATCTAGTTGGGGGAGCCTGGGGACAGGAGGGCTCACACATGCAGACCACCTTACAGGTGCTGATTAGAAAACTCCAGATTGATTGGTTTCTGGCTACACCTTTGGGAGAAGTTGAAACTACAATATGAATAAAGTTCTGGGTGGGAGCCTGACAGAAACGATTCCGTTTTGGGTATGTTTTTCCTATTTTTTTTTTTTAAGATTTATTTATTTGTACATACAGAACTGGGGTACAGGCCAGAGGCTCAGGGATGGTGAGAGGCTTCACCAGAGACAGAGTAGGGAGCAGAACAGGCAGATCGACGAAGTACACTGCTGAGGGGAGCAGCAGGCGAGACAGGAGAGGTCTGCCGCGCCATGTGGTCTCCTCTGGGGCAGGCGGGATTCGAACTCATGCGGAAGTGGCTTTAGCTTCTCAGTGCTGTGCTTTAACCTGCTGCGCCACCAGGGAGGGCCCTTATTTTATTTTTAAAGATTGATGTATTTATGCATATAAGAGCCAAAAGTGTAGGGGTGGTGTGGAGTGAGAGGATTCACCAGAGACAGAGCAGGGAGCAGGACAGGCGGATGTGCTGAAATACACTGGTGAGGGGGCAGCGAGTGAGGAGAGAGAGGGCTCCTGTGCCAGTGGGTCAGCTCCCTAGCAGTGCTGCAGAGGCTGTGGATAGCTTCACAGTGCTGAGATTTAACCCCTGTGCCATCAGGGAAGCCCTTGTTTTTTCCTATTTTTAACACTATGTTGGACTCTGTAGAGAAAGTGTCATAGCTAGAGAGGTGAGGTCCTTGGTGTTTGTTTTGTTTTGGTTTGGTTTAGATTTTTTTATATAATAGTTTATTTTTACATCATTTTGTGCATTTTTTCATCTCAGTTGTAATCCCCGGGGGCTTCCCATCGCCAAATCACCCTGTGCCATCACCATTGAGGTCCTTGTTTTAACAAGGGTAGGGAGAGTCTCAAGGTGAAAAGCAAGATGGAGCTGGGTTCCTGAACTTTTTATCCACTTTTTAGGATAGGCTCAAGTCCTCTTCCACCCTTCATGGCCAGAGGTGTCCCACTGACCTGCACAGCCTGTTGGACCCAAGAGGTCAGTTTGCACAGAAAAAGGGGCATCTAGTCCAGTATTTCCCCTCATCTGGGCTGGCCTGATGGGCAGAACACCAAAAGGATCAGTCCCTCTGATCCCTCTCAGTAATCTGATACTCCAGTTCAATTCACCCCATCACAGGAGGAAACCTAACCCAGCCTCAGTACCAAGCAGCAGGTGACTGGATGGGAAGCCAAGAATCAGGACCAGCACAGGCTCACCAGTGCCCTGTGGCTCTCCAGACACCTGGCTCTCTCAGGTGGCCCCTCTTCTTATTTAGAAACTCTGAGAAGGGAGCACACCCTGGATGGTCTCCTGCAGCCTCGCAGTCCAGGACAAACTGCAGACTGAGAGCGTGTTCTGGCGCCGTGGCCCAGTGCTGCCTGACCTACGGAAGCTACCTTCCTCTGCTTCAGCTTCCCGCGTGCTCTCACGGCCCCGGTCTCCGTGCAGACTTGCAGACTCATCTGACTGAACATTCAACTGAGCCGGGACCGGAGGAGGCACAACAGAGGCTCCAGGGGCAGGACACCCTCCTTCAATCCCAGCCGACCCCTCTACCAGGCCTGCCCACCCTTCTCTTGGGGAAGGCAATCAAAAGAATATGAACCTGAGGCCTCTCTGGTGGCATAACAGGTTCAAGCGCAGCACTATGAAGCTATCAGTGGCCATTGCAGCCCAAGTTCAATGCCCGGCCAGGGAGCTGACCCACATGGTGGGGCAGACCTCTCTTGACCCACCCGCTGCTCCCTTCAGCAGTGTATTTCAGTCAGTCTGCCTGTTTTCTCCGCACTCTGTCCCTGCACCCCTGCCCTTACCCCAGATCTTACATGCATAAATAAATAAATCTTTTCTTTAAAATATATATATGACCATGAAACTGACTTTCTGGCTGGATCCAGAAATCTAAGCTTCTTCTCCTTCCCTGGAATCTGTACCTTCTCAGAAACTACTCCAAAGATACAGCTTTGAAAACATGTGCTGTGTGTGATGTGTTGCTTTGACTATCTGGGTTGCAGGCATGACTGAATATGGCTAATCAGTCATGTATTTGGGACGTGACCTGCACAAGAGAAAGCCTCCTAAACAAGTTCCCTTGTTCACTGAAATTGCTACAACCAACCTGGAGTGACCTGCCTCTTTGATCTCTCCCTTTCCCCAGCGAATGGCAGTTGGTATCAAATTACAGCTGGGAAGTACACTTGGTCTTTGCCAACACCTTCCTCCCGTCTCCCCTATGTGAGAGTTGTCCCTGCCACTCACCAAATGGGGAGAGGGTCCAAACAAATGGTTGAATCCTCTTTCTGTCCCAGACACTCAAGCATCTTCAAAACACCACGTTCCCTTCCCTCTCTAGCTGGCTGACCCCTACCCTCCCAACCCAAGGAAAAAATAAATTTCAAAATGACTTCTAATGCTCTACAATCTGCCAAGCCCTTATCTCCCCAGGAGTCCTCACAAGGGCCATCCCCAAACAGGCAGAAACCGCCTTTGTCCTTGTTCTCGACTCCAGTCCCTATAAACACATCTGGGCACCTTCTTCCTTGGCTAATGGAATCTGTCTCCCTGGAAGCCTACAGCCCACCCAGGGTGTCCTGTCCTCAACCCAGTGGAAGATCTAGTTTGAGGTCAGCACTGACTTTTCTAAGGTCATGAACATGCCTAGTGTTTTCACTTTTAAGTATCTAAGGTACTATCTAAATAGTACTCAATAACACTAGTTCATGACAACTTTGGCCTATAAACTTTCCCTGCCCTTCTTATCTCCACCATCCTGGACTAAGACCTGACAATAGAAGTCAGGTAAAGTCTCCATGCATGGTCTTTGGAGAGTGACAGAGATGCAAGCCCAGATCACCACCAGGACACTTCTTACAGGTCAAAAATCCCTACATCTGTGGAAAGAGACATTCCACAGTTTCCAGACTAAACAACTCCATCTTGTGTTGAAACTATTAATGAATTTTTAACTTAAGTAATAAAAACTGGGCCCTCCCTGGTGGCAAGGTGGATTAAAGTGCAGCAGTGCAAGCTAGCCGCAACCACAGCTGCTTCAGTGCGAGTTTGATCCCCAGGTCCAGAGGTGACCCACATGGCACGGCAGAACTCTCCTGTCTTGCCCACTGCTCCCCTCAGCAGTGTACTTCATCAGTCTGCCTATTCTTCTCTCCACTCTGTCTTTGGTGAACTCGCTGCCCCTGCACCTCTGACCTGTACCCCAGTTCTGTATGCATAAATAAAATAAATCTAAAAAAAATAAAAATTAAAATGATTTCCTGTCAAGAATGGATTCCAGCATGGCCTTGCATGCAAACTATGCAATGATATGTATTATTTCATTTTCTTCCCTTCGTGGTAATGGAGGCCATCTTGGCCAGAAGCCAATGAACTGTAAGAAATGTAATCGCTAACCAATCCTAGTTTTTGCAGTTCTATCAATTCTTCCCTTCCCCATCTTTTTCCTTTAAAATCGCCCTAAACAAAGACCCAAGGTTCAAAATTTTGACTGATCCCTGAGTTTGTGCTCCCAAATTTGGAAATCTAAGACACACACACACACACACTAAATAAATGCTATTGTTTTAACCCCTTTGTTCTTTTCGAGGTGGACTAGGCAAGCCGCTGCTTGTTCAATCATAGTTTGCAGGCCTCATTCACAATTCTCGATTGCCACCTGGGAAACCTGCGTCGGACCATTTTCTCCTAAAGCTACACCAACAGTCCATTTTTCTGTCCTGCACCCCCACCTACAGTCCCCATGTCTCATCTTTCGAGAGTTGGACTGGAGACTTTGACTGACCACTGGAGAGCTCTCAACCAGTGGGGCCAAGACGTTGAAGGCCGGGAACTTTAGTGTTCACGCATAAGATCTGGAGTAGAGTGCTGAAAGCCACTTGCCGCGGAAAGACCCACTAGGGGTTCATCCACGCAACGCCCCTGTCCCGGGCGTCTCCAAGGTCCAAGTGACTGGCTTTGGCGCCACCTAGCGGCAGTCTCCCGCCAGCGACGTCTGTAGCCGGCGCGGGTCCCAGGGCTGCGGGGCCGGTGTCCACCGGGAAGGTGAACAGGGTGCGCCCAGCTTGAAGAACCCGGACTGCGCGTCTCTGGATTGCGGCGCACCCGCGACCCTGCGAGACACGGAGACCGTTGCCCTTGTCTCCTCGTGGTGGCGCACACGCGCTAGGGTCGCCGCGGGGCGCTCGGCGATCAAGTGAACGTGCGCGCACGCGCCCGCCCCACGCAGCCTCCCGCACCACCGGAGGCGCGCGCACGTACGCCTCCGCGCTCGCCCGCGCTGGCCTGTCCCCCACGCAGTGGTCGGCGGGCTACGGAGCTAGCGGACCCGGGAGAAGGCCCTTTCGCGCAGCGCATGGCATAACCGCCGCACACTTTTGCCACTGTCATCTCGTGCGTGGGGACGTCGCTTCACCGCCGCCGCCCCGTCCCCAAGGGTGACCCCCAAAGGGCGGGACCTGCGGGTCCGGGTAACCCAGGCCCCTCGCGGAGCAGGCTGGGGGCTCCCGGACCAGGCCGCTCCCACCTGCCGGCCACCGCGGCCAATGAGAGCTTGGTCTGGTGATGTCATGCCCTGACCGGACCCTGGTGACGAAAGCCCGAGGTCACTCGTCAGGGAACGAGCGCGAACCCACCGGCGGGGGTTCCGGAAGTTTCCACCGCGGTGGCAGAGAGGGGCCTCACCCCGCAGCCTTGCGCGTGCCACCACGTTGGCCTTTCCTTTTCGGTGTCCCCGAGTCACCTCTCCCTTCCCCTCTTTCAGTGTGAGCCCCTTTATTTCCACTCTAATCTCGTGTTCCCACCTTAATTCCCACAGGTGTGCCCTCATCCCCGGGAGTCTCCCACGTCGCCTTTTCTCCACCGGTGCCATCAAGACCCCTGGGTGGGTGGGGGGGGTCCTCAATCGCACTTTCACGTGCCGGTCCACCCTGCTGTGCTGCGGCCCGAGAAGCTCCTTTCTCCAGCTCTGGGGAAACTTCCCCAGTCCCTACCCAGGCTGTCAACGTGTCCCAGTGTGTCGTCCGTCTGTGAGTGTCGATCGCTGCGTGTGTCTGTGGCAGTCACAATGTGACATCGTCCGTCTGTCTCCCCGCGGGCTTGACTGTCACTGCGGCTGTACGATTCACCGCTGCGGCTCTTTGGATCTTGTCTGTCACTGCATGTCTGTCTGTCTTCGGCGTCTGTCCCTGGAGTCCGTCTGGACCCGGAGGTCTTGGGTCTTGACTGGTAGGGAGGGGCAGGGAGGGGAGGTGG